CTTGAACTTATTCGTTTCCAGGCTAAAAGACCGTTGTTGATACTTTTTACAAACATATAGTGAGAGGTATAAAAAAAGATTCTATAATATATACACAAGAAAGCAATTTCATTTGTTTTCAAACCTACTGCACTGCCCTTAGTAGTCAGGACAATGCTGCAGGTTTGAAAACAAATGATATTGCTTTCTTTCGTATATTCTATAGAATCTTTTTTCTATACCTCTCACTATTGCACCGGCACTGCCTGAGTACTCAGGGCAGTGCAGTAGGTTTTGAAAACAAATGAAATTGCTTTCTTTCGTATATTCTATTTTTTATACCTCTCACTATATTCTATTCTATTTTTCTATTTTCTATTTTTTTATACCTCTCACTATATGTTTGTAAAAAAATATCAACAACGGTCTTTTAGCCTGGAAACGAATAAGTTCGAGCTACATACGTATAGTCGGAAGATTGCAAATTAATTTTAAAAGCTTGTTTTGGAAGGTTTGAAAATTTGTAATGTGACCATTTGATGCTGTGTACTACATTGGCTGTGTACTAAAATATTATAGGATGGAAAATGGTTTAGATATTATTATTAATCAACTTATAATATTGGCTGATAACAAACCGGATCATACAATTGCTGTGCCATCCGCAAAAATGGATGATTCACAATCGGTTAGTATGGGGAAAAGTAAAACCGAAAACAATAACCCTGTGATGTCCACAGGGTTATTGTTATCGGCAGTAATAATGTACTGATATCCGCCAAAAAATATTCGATTGAATTCCAACGGTGTTAGAAAGAGTACATGTTTGGCTCTCGTATGACTATTAACTTCGTTCAAAAATTAAAAAAGGCGCACCTTTGAAAAAATATTTTTGGAAAATCACCTATTTTTGACCACAAACTAAGTTAAACAAGTGGAAAAGCGTTAAGTTCGGCCGGGCCGAACTTTAGATACCCTTCACCATAGATACACTGACAGGTACTTGAAATGAAAATATGGGGAACATACCAAAAAGTGGGCCTATTCCGATATTTCTAAAAAGAGATTATGTAAACCATAATACAAATTTGAGAAATGTTTTGATGGATAATTATACCCTCAGCCGTATGGCTAATGAGGGTGTATACAATTTAACATGGAGAAAATGTACCTCATCGAAATATTGGTTTTAGAGCCCGTTTCAGAAAATTTTAGATTTCATCCAAACTTTGTCCATCTTATTATTTCTTCCAAACTTAGTTCAAATTCAAAGATGGGGAATATCGGTCTACTCCTACTGGAACCTCTACACTAAATGCGGCTATAGATCATTATCGAACCTTACGTTAAAATTTTTATCTAGGTATCCTCCGCAGGAGAAATGATAACAACAGAGTCTTAGAACCAAACTCAAAACGCGGAACAAATTATATATCTATTTTAATATAAACAAGTAAAAAAGCGTTAAGTTCGGCCGGGCCGAACTTTGGATACCATCCACCATAGATATACAGATAGGTACTAGAAATGAAAATATAGGGAACATACCAAAAAGTGGACCTATAGAAACATTTCTAAAAACGGATTATGTGAATCTTAATACAAATTTCAGAAATTTATTTATAATGGATAATTATACCCTCAGCATTATGGCTAATGAGGGTGTATACACTTTAACACGGCGAAAATGTGCCTCAATGTCGTTCTAGACCCCATGTTTCTTTGGACCAAATCCGTTTCAGAAAATTTACATTTCATCCAAACTTTGAGTCTTAGAACCAAACTCAAAATGCGGAACAAATCAGATAACTATTTGAATATAAAAAAGGGGGTTATATGGGCTCTACCCCAAAAATGGGGCGAATATTAAAAATTTTTGGTAGGGAGATTTGTTACTATATACGACTACAAAATACCAAATTGCAGCAAATTCGATTGAAAAACGTGCTCAAGAACCCCAAAATACTGAAAATTGGGGGTACCCTTATATGGGGGCTATCCGAAAAAATGGACCTATACTCATAATTTTTTGTGGAGAGATTTGCTGCGCAATCAGAACTCAAAGTACCAAATTTCAGCGAATTCGGTTGAAAAACGCGCTCAAGAACCCCAAAATACCGAAAATTGGGGGTACCCTTATATGAGGGCTACCCGAAAAAATCGACCTATATTTATAATTTTTTGTGGAGAGATTTGATACCCAATAAGAACTCAAAGTACTAAATTACTGCCAATTCGGTGAAAAAATGCGGTCAAAACCCCTCTAAAACTGAAAATTGGGAGGTACCGTTATATGGGGGCTACCAGAAAAAGTGGACCTAAAGTTATAATTTTTAGTTGAGACATTTGGTATCCAATAAGAGCCCATTTTACCAAATTTCAGCGAATTTGGTTGAAAAACGCGCTCAAGAACCCCAAAATACTGAAAATTTGGGGACATCCAAAAAAAGGGGCAGAATATTAATAATTTTTGGTAGCGAGATTTGTTACCATATACGACTACAAAATACCAAATTGCAGCAAATTCGGTTAAAAAACGTGCTCAAGAACCCCAAAATACTGAAAATTGGCGGTACCCTATATAGGGGCTATCCGAAAAAATGGACATATATTCAAAAAATTTTGTGGGGAGATTTGCTACCCAATAAGAACTCAAAGTACCAAATTTCAGAGAATTCGTTTGAAAAACATGTTCAAGAACCTCAAAATACCGAAAATTGGGGGGTCCCTTATATGGGAGCTATGCCTAAACGTGGACGACTCTATGCAAAATTTTGGGGCTCTATCTCAATTCGTTTAGACGCTAGAGTGATTACAAAAGACAAGCGGACATGCTTATATCGTCTTACAATTTTACGCTGATCAAGCATATATATACTTTATAGGGTCGGAAATGATTATTTCGATGCGTTACAAACGGAAAAAACATAACTAATATACCCTCCATACTTTGGTGGAGGGTATAAAAATTCGATTATCCTAGTTCATACGATAGCTATACACTCACAGAAAAACGTCCCAAAATTTGGATTCGATTGGGTTATTAGTTTTTGAGTTATCGTGTCCGCCATTCGCAACAACGCTGTTGGAATAAAAAAACGAGAGTTTGATAAGCCCACTTGCGGTCACTTGATGCCACAATAAATCGGCTATATCTTCAAAAATTGTTGAGATTTTCACTTAAAAATTTAAAGGGATATTCTTGAATTAGTGTACCGAGCATGGGAGGGTGGTCCCCATAAGTAATGATAACTTATGAATAAAATCATCATGCCACACGGAATCAAATGCAGCTTTGACGTCTAATAGGACCATTGCAGTTGACTTACCTAGATCAAAACAGTTTTTTACATTATTTCATATTCTGATAAGTGGTTGAATAGTATTGTGTTTGGAGCGAAACCCTAATTGTTGTGGAGGTACAATATCGAGATTTTCTAAAAATTCAACAATTGTTTTCTTAAATAATTATACCCTTCATCACACTGTGGTACAGGATATTATGTCTTTGTGCATATGCTTGTAACAGGCAAAAATAATCGAGATAGACCCATGGTTCCTTTTAAGAATATGCATAGAATCACTTTTTGAGTTGATTTATGCATGTCCGTCCGTCCGTCCGTCGGTCTGCCTGTCCATGTTAAATTGAAAACAAAGTACAGGTTGCATTTATTATTCGAATTGGATGAAATTTGGCACAGCTCATTCATTTGGCCCAAAGACGAACCCAATTGAAATAGGGAAAAATCGGTTCACATTTAGATATAGCTCCCATATATATTTTCGTCCGATTTAAGGTAAATGGTGCACAAAGTCCCTAACTAGCTTTCGATTTGCACGAAATTTGGCAGAGCACACTGAATTAAGTCTAGAATGATGTGTGCTAATTTTCTTAAAAATCGGTTCAGATTTAGATATAGCTTCCATACATATTTTCGTCTGATTTAAGACAAATGGTGCACCAAAGTCCCTATTTATTTTTCGATTTCCACGAAATTTTGCACAGCATACTGAATTAAGCCTAGAATGATGTGTGTTAAGTTTCGTGAAAATCAATTCAGATTTAGATATAGCTTCCATATATATTTTCGTCCGATTTCAGGTAAATGGTGCACCAAAGTCCCTAAATATCTTTCGATTTGCACTAAATTTGGCACGGCGTAATGAATTGAGTGTATAAAGACGTCTTCTAAGTTTCGTGAAAATCGGTTCAGATTTAGATATAGCTTCCATATATATTTTCGTCCGATTTAATGTAAATGGTGCACCAAAGAACCTATATATCTTTCGATTTGCACGAAATTTGGCATAGCGTACTGAATTGAGTCTAGAATGATGTGTGCTATGTTTCGTGAAAATCGGTTCAGATTTAGATATAGCCCTATATATATTTCTTCCGATTTAATGTAAGTGGTGCACCAAAGACCCTATATATACTTCGATTTGCGCGAAATTTGGCATAGCGTACGGAATTGAGTCTAGAATGATGTGTGCTATGTTTCGTGAAAATCGGTTCAGATTTAGATATAGCTCCCATATATATCTTCGTCCGATTTTCGATAAATGGTGCACCAAAGTCCCTATATACCTCTCGATTTGCACGTAACTTGGCAGCTCATACTGAAATAAGTCTAGTGTTAAGTTTCGTGAAAATCTGTTCAGATTTCGATATAGCTCCCATATTTATTTTCATCTGATTTAATGTAAATGGTGCAGCAAAGACCCTATATATGTCATAGCGCACGGAATTAGCTTTAGAATGATGTTACTAAGTTTCGTGAAAATCGGTTCAGATTTAGATATATATTTTCCTCCGATTTAATGTAAGTAGTGCACCAAAGTCCGAATAAATGTTTCGATTTGTACTAGATTTGAAAATTAAAATATATCACAAAGTTAACTTTTTCCTACATCATTTTGTTTTTATTTTTTTTTTAATTTTATTTTTAACTAACATTTTCATCTCCTTTTTTCTTCAAACTTAAACCTAAAACAACAACACAATTTGAGAGGAGAAAACAAAATTAACGTCAGTCCTCTTCGATACCATAATTGACCATATTCATAGCAACAGCATAATCCCAATCCCGCACATAGGGAAATTTATGGATGACAACCCAACGATTCGAGTCCATTTCGTAGTGGGCAATGAAGTCACCACATGTTGAATACAGCTGATTGTCGACGGTGAAAATCTCATAAAACTCCCGCTCTTCACCGAAGTCTATGACCTCCCAACGATTGGCACGCATATCATAACGTTCCATGCACATGCCCAAGCCTTCACAGCAATAGATGTTGTCACCCAACACGGCACTGGAACAGTAACCCTTCACATCGTTCATGGGTGCCAAAAATTGCCATGAATTCTCTCGCGGATCATAGCGTTCGAGGCAATTGTAGCTGCGTATCTCTTCTTCGCCACCCATCACATACATACATTCACCATGGACCACCGCTCCCATGGAGCTGCGATGCACCAGCATCGGTTTACAGAAATCCGATTTGTTCGTCGCCAAATTTAGATATTCCACCGAATTTGTAATGCCATTCGATGAATTTCCCCCAATGGCATACAGGCAGTCGTTGACAATTAGCGAACGGTGGTGCGATCTTTTAACCTGCAGCGGGGCCAGATCATGCCACTGATCGCGATATATATTATAGTAATAACAATTATTTGTACTTCGTCCAATACTGCCACCCTGAATGTACAATATATTTTTATGGGCTGCCAGGCTAATGGCAAAGGCCGGCCGCGGAGGTGGTTTCAGGGTCAACATTGTTCCTGTTTTCAGATCGTAACGACATGTCTCAGGATTTCGACCCATTTTATCCACCAAAAATATACGCCATTCAGAGCTACCCTCATAGTGTTGGACTTCGCTCAGCCACTGCGAGCAATCGTTTTGCTTTTGAAGGGTAGTCAGTGATCTGGTGACCTCGGCCGATACACACATGGGATGTATAAAGCGCAGGAGTTGTGACAGATATGATAGGCGTTGTTCGGGCATATATTCGGCCCAGCGTACAATTCCCTGGAGTATGGTATCGTCGGAGTGCATAAAGAGTTCGTTATTGCTGAGAATCGGTACCAACTGTAAAAGAAATAAAATATTTTACGAATTCTTAAATAAGATACGGAATTGTACCGATTATTTTTTCATTCTTTAAAAATCCACGCTTAGAAGCTCCAAACTTGATTTTTTAAGAATATTATTTTTTAAAAAATATATTTCATTTTTTAACCAATAATTAAGGCGTGGATTTTTTAAAAATTTAAAAAAAAAAATATTTTTTCAAGGCGTGGATTTTTTAAAAAAAAATTTTTTCAAGGCTTCGAATTTTTATACAATATTTTTTCAAGGCTTTGATTTTTTAAAAAAAATATTTTTCAAGGCTTGGATTTTTTAAAAAAATATTTTTTCAAGGCATTGTTTTATTTAAAAAAATATTTTTTCAAAGCTTGGATTTTAAAAAGATATTTTTTCAAGGCTTTGTTTTATTTAAAAAAATATTTTTTCAAGGCTTGGATTTTTTAAAAAAAAATTTTTCAAGGCTTTGTTTTATTTAAAAAAATATTTATTCAAGGCTTGGATTTTTTAAAAACTATTCTTTCAAGGAACAATTCAAGGCGTGGATTTTTCAAAAAAATATTTTTTCAAGGCGTGGATTTTTTAAAAAAATATTTTTTCAAGGCTTGGATTAAAAAAAAAATATTTTTTCAAGGCTTGGATTTTTAAAAAAATATTTTTTCAAGGCTTTGATTTTTAAAAAAAATATTTTTTAAAGGCATGGATTTTTAAAAAAAATATTTTTTCAAGGCTTGGAATTTTTAAAAACAAATATTTTTTCAAGGCGTAGATTTTTTAAAAAAATATTTTTTCAGGGGTCTATCAAAGGCGTAGATTTTCTAAAAAAATATATTTTTTTCAAGGGTCTATCAAAGGGGTGGATTTTTTAAAAAATATTTTTTCAAGTCGTGGATTTAGAAAAAATATATTTTTTCAAGGCTTCGATTTTTTTATACAATATTTTTTCAAGGCTTGGATTTAAAAAAAAATATATATTTTTTCAAGGGGTGGATTTTTTAAAAAAATATTTTTTCAAGGCTTTGGTTTTTTTAAAAAATATTTTTTCAATGCTTGGATTTTTTAAAAAAAAATATTTTTTTCAAATAACCTCAAGGCTTGGTTTTTTTAAAAAAATATTTTTTCGAGGCTTGGTTTTTTTAAAAAAATATTTTTTCAAGGCTAGGATTTTTTAAAAAAATATTTTTTCAAGGCTTTGATTTTAAACCAAAAAAATTTTTCAGGGCGTGGATTTTTTAAAAAAATATTTTCTCAATGCGTGGATTTTTTAAAACAATATTTTTCAAGGCTTGGATTTTTAATAAAAATATTTTTTCAAGGCTTGGATTTAAAAAAAAAACTATTGTTTCAAGGCTTCGATTTTTTAAAAAAATATTTTTTAAGGCTTGGATTTTTTTAAAAAAAAATATTTTTTCAAGGCTTCGATTTTTTAAAATAATATTTATTCAAGGCTTGGATTTTTTAAAAAAATATTTTTTCAAGGCTTGGTTTTTTTTAAAAAAAATATTTTTTCAAGGCGTGAATTTAAAAAACATATTTTTTCAAGGCTTGGATTTTTAAAAAATATATATCTTTTTAAAGTCTAAACAAGGCAAGGATTATAAATAATATTTTTTCAAAAAATTTCAAGACATAGATTTTTTAATAATAATTTTTCAAAAATTCTCAAGGGTTAGAGTTAAAAAAAAATCAAAGACCATCCAAGAGTTGGATTTTTCAAAAAAATATTTTTTCAAAGACCATCCAAGAGTTGGATATGTGTAAAAAATATTTGTCAAATCCAAAGTTTTTTTTACGATTTTCCTTACTCACCTCCTCATAGGACATTTCATAGAACTCCTCACACTGAACAACATCCTGAAAATGTGTGATAATATAATCTTTGGCCATTTCCAACAATATCTGATTATTTTGCTTCTCGGCAAAATGTTTGAAACCCAAACAATTCTCCGGATCCAATAGCTCGCCCATGTGTTCACCACACATATCCGATAAATGATCCAATTGTAGAAATGATGCGGTCTGCATTAGCTGTTGCACATAATCATCGCTAATATCCACCAGGCCGGTGTAAATAAATTCCACTACCAATTGCAGGCATTGCGTATCGATTTCGGGTAGATGTATTTCAGGTTGATCACTTTCAGGAAAATGGCCACTAAACATGGCCATAAAATAGGGACTGGCGGCAGCTAAAATGTTACGATGGGCAGATATGCGGGTACCATCACAGCCCAAGAGGACGACATCAGTGAACTGGAACAAACAGGAGAATTTTTTATTATTATTATTTTTTTTTTTTTGTTTTTTAATATTTTGGGAAACATCAAAAGTGTGGACCTATACTATACAGAGAGTATGTGTGGAACACTCACTCTCACACACACATCCCTTCATCCATACCTGTTCTCTTTTTCGAAACTCATTCAATTGCTGCAATAAATGACCACTTGTGCCCCGTATAAATGACCGCGGCTTCATTTGTTCCTGTTTGGTTAGGTCCACGCTGTTGTTGGTTTTCTTCGTTAGTGCCTCGGAGTTATCCATTTTTTCCATTTTCCAGCAAACATTTGTTTTGTTTGATATTCTCTGGTTGCTCCTATGTCCTATCCTGTCCTGACCTGTCACTTGTGTCAGCTGCTGTGTGTGGTATAATTGAATTATTTCGTTTCCCTTCTTCTTCTTATTCTTATTGTTAGTATAACAGTTAGAGGTATATCATTGACATTTAACGGACATGCGCATTTCTTATCTACCGTTATCTCTGGCAGCTGTTAGTTATTGTTGGCATATAACGGAAATTATTATCAAAAATTGAATGCTGCTCTTCTCTAAGAAGCGTAAAGGGAGAGGGGTGCATTTTGTTTGGCCTGCAAATAACCATATTTGGATTAATTAATTCAACATCTTAATTATCGCTTTTCAAACTTGATATTTGTTTGGGTTAACTACTAACGGACATTGAAATAAAGATACGAAAAAAAATGTAGCATATTTTTAGGCAAATATATTTTAGATTCACCAATGGGCTAGATTTCTTTTAAAAAATATTTTTCAAAGGTCATCCAAGGCGTGGATTTATAAAAGAATATTTTTTTTCAAATGCCATCTACGCCCAGACGAAGGAGGATCACTCTTGGTCCAAAGGTGTCAGATAAGGCTGGGTTTTTGGAAATTCGTACTAGAACGGTACGAAAAGTACTAAAAAGTGCTAAATAATAGTATTTGGCGAACCAGTAGAGCTAGAACTCTGAAATTTGGATTGAGGGTGACTGATGAAGTGTAGAATAGATGTAGCAAAAGGGTTTCTTTGAAATTCGAACTATAAGTATCCGAAAAGTACTGTAATGTACTAAATTTGGTACAAGATCTAGCGTGTGAATGGATTGAGCTAAAAACATGAAATTTGGAATGCAAAATAAGGTTGGGAAGTAGGGTCGATATCATGAGAGTTTGGAAAGCGTGTACTCATGTGTACGAAAAATACTATATGGTACTATATTTGGTACAAATTTGATTTGAAGGTACACACGGAGCTGGAATGCTGAAAATTTAAAGCAACAGTACCGTCGGAGTGTAGGATTTAGATATGTACGTAGTTTTGGACATTTTTTACTTATGTGTACGAAAAGTACTAAATTGTACTATAATTGGTACAATTTGGATTTGGGTGAACCGATAGAGCTGGAACAATGACATTTGGAGTTAGGATCATTGCAGGTATGATACAAAATGAAAAAATTCGCTGTTGCAAACATAAATTTACTGTGAAAAAAATTCATTTCGGAGGGGGGGGGGGCAGGCCCCCATTGCTCCCCCCCTGCGTACGTCCCTAATGTATACTAAATTTGGTACAATTTAAATTGTGGGTGAAACGATAGAGTTGAAATCATGAAATTTTGATTTAGGATCACTGTGGAAGTGTAGGATTAGGGTATTTAGGAAGTTTTGGATATTCGTACTACTGTGTACAAAATTTGGTACAATTCGAATTGTGGGTGAACCTAAGAAGTTGGAATCCTGAAACTTGGATTTAGAATCGCTATCGGTGTGTAGGATTAGGGTATGTAGGAAGTTTTGAAAATTGGTACTATTGTGTACTAAATTTTGTACAATTTGAATTGTGGGTGAACCGACAGTGTTGGAATCCTTAAACTTGGATTTTGTATCACTGTGGGGGTGTTGGTTTGGGGTAAGAAGGGAGTTCTGGAAATTCGTACTACTTTGTACTAAATTTGGTGCAATTTAAATTGTGGGCCAACCAATAAAGTTGGAATCTTGAAACTTTGATTTAGGATGACTGTGGAAGAGTAGGATGGGGTAAGAAGGAAGTTTTGGAAATTGGTACAACTATGTACTAAATTTGGTACAATTTGAATTGCGAGTGCACCAATAGAGTTGCAATCCTGAAACTTGAATTTAGGATCACTCCGGGGGTGTTGGTTTGGGGTAAGAAGGAGGTTTTGGAAATTCGTACTACTTTGTACTAAATTTGGTACAATTTGAACCGATAAAGTTGTAATCTTGAAACTTGGATTTAGGATGACTGTGGGAGAGTGGGATGGGGTATGTAGGAAGTTTTGGAAATTGGTACAACTATGTACTAAATTTGGTACAATTTGAATTGCGGGTACACCAATAGAGTTGGAATTCTGAAACTTGGATTTAGAATGGCTGTGGGAGTCTAGGTTTGGGGTAGGAAGGAGGTTTTGGAAATAAGTACTACTGTGTACTAAATTTGGTACAATTTGAATTGTGGGTGAACCGATAGTGTTGGAATCCTGAAACTTGGATTTAGGATCACTGTGGGGGTGTAGGATCGGGATATGCATGAAGTTTTGTTGGATGGTTGAACAGGGTATATAATGTAGAAATAATCTGTGCTAAATGGAAAATGAAATTTGGTACTAAATGGTACTCAAATTTAATTTATGATCGATATTATTGTGGATTTATTAAAGTTTTTTTTCAAAGGCCATCCAAGGCGTGGATTTATAAAAGAATATTTTTTTCAAAGGCCATCCAAGGCGTGGATTTATTAAAGAATATTTTTTTCAAAGGCCATCCAAGGCGTGGATTTATTAAAGAATATTTTTTTCAAAGGCCATCCAAGGCGTGGATTTATTAAAGAATATTTTTTTCAAAGGCCATCCAAGGCGTGGATTTATTAAAGAATATTTTTTTCAAAGGCCATCCAAGGCGTGGATTTATTAAAGAATATTTTTTTCAAAGGCCATCCAAGGCGTGGATTTATTAAAGAATATTTTTTTCAAAGGCCATCCAAGGCGTGGATTTATTAAAGAATATTTTTTTCAAAGGCCATCCAAGGCGTGGATTTATTAAAGAATATTTTTTTCAAAGGCCATCCAAGGCGTGGATTTATTAAAGAATATTTTTTTCAAAGGCCATCCAAGGCGTGGATTTATTAAAGAATATTTTTTTCAAAGATCCAGATAATTCTGGATTGGAGGTAGGTACTTCTGAAAAACCCTAATGTTTTTAAGTAACTAAATAAAAAACAGCATTATTTTTTTTTTAATTTTTATTTTTTTGTGATTTTTTTTATTGATTTGTGATTAAACAACTAACATTTTTGTTTCTCGAAAAAAAATAAAAGAGAGGAGGACAAGGCGAATACAAATAAAATATTTATATTTTTTGTTTAATCATAATTGTTATAATAATATTATTTAATTAATTAATAATAATAATAATGATAATTCAAGTATAACTTTTTACAGAAATATTGATGTGTTGTTGTTTATTTCTATGTTTTTGTTGTGAAAAAATATATATAATAAAATAGACATATTTATGTATATAAAAAAGAGAGTAAGGAAAAAAGTAAAAAAACATTGTTTTAGAAAAATAATTCCATAACTGTTTATTTGGATATTTAATTTAAAGAAAAAATAAACACATAGATTTATAATTACAAATTAATAATAATATTATTATTTTTTTTAATTTTTGGGGGGAGATGTAATAACTATATATTTTTATATATATTGTGTTAAATATTTTTATTCTTATTATTTATTAATGTTTTGTAAAATTATTTATTAAACATTATGTATATAATATAAATATATAAGAAAATAAAAAAACACATATAACAATATTAGAAAAAAATAGAGAGAGAGGGAGGAGGGGAGAGAATACAATTTACAATTTTAAAGCCGAAATTCAATACACCATTTAATATATTTAACATTGGTGTGGGGGGGAAATAATTTTCTTGTTGTTGTTGTTGTTTTAATTGCTACATAAAAATTTATATTACAGGAAATTATTAGTTTCGTTTTTGTTGTTTTTGATTCCAATATCCATCCATTCAATTTTTGTCAAACTTAATAATTGAAACAGTTTATTTTAATTTTTTTTTCGTTATATATAAACATAATAATTAACATATGTATGTATATATAAAATAATAAAAATTAAATAATGATATGATACAATTTGTTGTTGTTATTTTTTTATAATTTATAATATTGTTTTTTTTTTAATATTTTATAAATATTGTAAATATTTGTTTGTATAATTCGCTTTAACAATTTTATAGTTTTTTTTCAAATCTTCTTTTTCGTTAATTTCGTTTCCGTCTTTTTTTAAACTTCATAAACATTTATCGATAACATTCCATATATATGTATATGTATAGAGAGACTTTTTTATTGTATTTTGATTTAGTTATTATATATCAAGCAATAAAAAAATTATTTCCAATGGAAAAAAAACAAAGAAAATATTTTTAAAGATTTCGTTTTAATTTCATTTTTTAAAAAATGTTCTCTTTTTTAATTTTTTTATGTTTGGATTTGGTTTTCGTTTCGTTTTTTTTATATATAACACTGTGCTTGAAATTACAAGAATTTCTTCCTTAGAAAAAAATTTTGATTGAGGTTATGTTGCAGAGTGAGGTTATGTCTCAAATAAAAAATGATTTATTAAAGAGATGATTTAATTCAAAATGTTGTATTTGAAAAAATATTTAATTAAAATAAAATTATTGAAGTCAGTTTGTCACTAGGTAATGATAAAATATAATTACTTCGATTGGAAAATGCGCCTAGGATCACAAAAATACCTATAAAGGTGCTGGACTTAAATGTGGGGACTATATGATTTGACATTCAATGATAACCCAAAATAACCCAAATTCAATGATAACTTGAACCAATTCCGTTGAAAATATTGCTCTACATTGACAAAATATCGAAAAATGGGAGTACGGGCTACCCTAAAATATCGGTCAATATTGATAATTTTTTTCGTTTAAAAAATTTGACCGTAACTCTTAAAACTTTAAAAAATCGAAGTTCTGGTATATGGGATAAAATATCGGTCAATATTTATAATTTTTGGCAGGAAGATTTAAAACCGCATGAGAATTCCAAGTACCGAATTACAACCTTTTCGCTCAAAAATTTTTTTTCCGAAATACTTCAAACTTCGAAAAATCGGAGTATCGTTATATGGGGGCTACCCTGAAATATCGGTCAATATCGAAAAATCGAAGTACCGATATATGATGGTTACCCTGAAAAATCGGTCAATATTTATAATTTTTGGCAGGAAGGTGTAACACCTAATGGTAATTCCAAATACCGAATTACAACCCATTCTGTTGAAAAGCCTAACCAAAATTCTCAAAACTTCGAACAATCGGAGTAACGTTATATGGGGGCTACCCTGAAAAATTTATAATTTTTGGTAAGGAGATTTTCTACTTAAAGATAATTCAAAATACCAAATTTGAACAAATATGGTTCAAAAACTTATCCGATATTTACAAAATATCGAAAAATCGGAGTACCGTTATATGGGAGTTACCCTGAAATATTAGTCAATATTTATAATTTTTGGCAGGAAGGTTAAACACCTAATGATAGATTCCAAATACCGAATTACAACCAATTCGGTTGAAAAGCCTAACCAAAATTCTCAAGACTTCGAAAAATCGGAGTATCGTTATATGGGTGTTACCCTGAAATATCGGCCAATATTTATAATTTTTGGTAAGGCGATTTTCTACTTAAAGATAATCCAAAATACCAAATTTGAACAAATATGGTTCAAAAACTTATCCGATATTTACAAAATATCGAAAAATCGGAGTACCGTTATATGGTGGTTACCCTGAAAAATCGGTAAATATTTATAATTTTTGGCAGGAAGGTGTAACACCTAATGATAATTGCAAATACCGAGTTACTACCAATTCGGTTGAAAAACCTAACCAAAATTCTCAAGACTTCGAAAAATCGGAGTACCGTTATATTGTGGTTACCCTGAAAAATCGGTCAATATTTATAATTTTTGGCAGGAAGATTTAAAACCTAATGAGAATTCCAAATACCGAATTACAAATATTTCGGTTAAAAAATCTGACCATAATTCTCAAAACTTCGAAAAATCGGAGCACCGCTATATGGGAGTTACCCTGAAATATCGGCCAATATTTATAATTTTGGGTAAGGAGATTTTCTATCTAATTATAATCCCAAATAACAAATGTGAATAAATTAAGTTTAAAAACTTGCCCGAAATGTACAAAATATCGAAATACCGTTATATGGGGGCTACCCTGAAATATCGGCCAATATTTATAATTTTTGGTAGGAGGATTTTTTGTCTACAGAGAATTTAAAATATCAAGTCACAGCCAATTCGATTGAAAAACATGTCCATAATCCCCAAAATATCGAAAATTTGGAGACAACTATGTATGGGGTCTACCTCGAAACTTGAGCCAATATTGATCATTTTTGGCAGGAAGGTTTGCCACCCAATGAGAATCTAAAATATCAAATTACAACCAATTTTATTGAAAAACATGCCCATAATCCCCAACAAATATCGAAATTTGGGAGACACCTTTGTATGGGGGCTACCTCGAAACTTGAGCCAATATTGATCATTTTTGGCAGGAAGGTTTGCCACCCAATGAGAATCCAAAATTACTGCTAATTTGATTGAAAAACAGGCCCAAAATCCACCAAAAATATCGAAAATCGGAGTTACCCTCATATGGGAGCTATCCTGAAACTTGGTCCAATATTGATGATTTTTGGAGGGATAATTTACTACCCATTGAGAATCCAAAATATGAAATTACAGCCAAATTAATTGAAAAACACGCCCAAGCTCCTCAAAATATCGCGATTTGAGAGGTAACATTCTATGGGGGCTACCCGGAAACTTGGGCCAATATTGATTATTTTTGGTAGGAATATTCTCTACCTAAAGAGAATCTAAAATATTAAATTACAACCAATTTTATTGAAAAACAGGCCCAAAATCCCCCAAAATATCTACCCAGTGAGAATCCAAAATGTTACAAAATACAACCAAATCGATTGAAAAACATGCCCGAAATCCTCAAAAATCCGAAAACTTGGAGGTACTCTTATATGGGGGCTACCCCGAAACTTGGGCCAATATTGATAATTTTCGGCAGGAAGGTTTTTTACCCAATGAGCATCCAAAATATCAAATAACAACCAATTCGTTGGAAAAATGTGTCCAAAATCTTCAAAATACCAAATATTGCGGGATACCATTATATGGGGACTATAACAAAACGTGAACCGTTATATTCCATTTTCAATACGAAACATCCTAGGAGTAGTACCAATGTCTGTGCAAAATTTTAAAGGTATATCTAGAATATTTTTACAATATTTGTCTTAAGACAGATTTTGTTAAATTATAAATTTTGAAAAAAGTATCTTAAATAAATTTAAATAAATAATTTCGAAACCCAATGTATTTTCGAATCATACATAACCTTTAAGAGCACATTCTTAGCTTTTCAAAACATTTCTGAATTTTAAAATCGTTTTGGAAATAATCACTCTGAGGTATACAAACTAAACAGGATTTTTTATGTGACATTTTTGTTATTTAACTGACATAACCTCACTTTTTGGGGGATTTTTGGTTTTTTTTTAATATAATTTAAATTTTAAATTTTAAAATCGGTTTGGAAATAATCACTCTGTGGTATACAAACTAAAAAGGACTTTTTATGTGACATTTTTGTTATTGAACTGACATAACCTTACTTTTTAGGAGATTTTAGGTTTTTTTAAATATAATTTAAATACAGACAGTATGTAATCTCATTAGAGAACTTCATTAATTTAAAAATCTCTTAAAAATAAAGCACAATGTTATAATAATGATATAGAGAAATATTTGTATGTAGAGAGACAGATAGCATTAAAAAGCTTAGCTGAGATTTTGTATAGGTTTTTTTTCAAAAAAATTGAGACAGATTTTTTCTTTTTATTTTCATTTTTTGTATGTATGTATATAAAAAATGTAATTAACACCAATTACAAAATTCTTTTTCATAATAATTATTATTAGTTAAAAAAAACACTTTTAGAAAATGTTTAAAAATTTGTTGTCACCATTTTGTTCTCTACATTTCTTTTCTTAACAGTTTTGGTTTTTTTGTCTTTTTGAGGAATAATATTAATAGGTTAGGTTATATAATAAATATACGAAATATAGAAAAGGCATTGTAACATACAAACAAACATACAAATTTTTCAAAAATACATTATTAATTAACTTGGTTAACAAATATGTATTAGTTTGTGTGTAAAGTGGGTGGGGGTGGGGAGTGTATTGTGTTTGATTGTGTTAGTTTTCTTTTTTAATTGGGGGGTTTTTTTCAAGCATAAGCCCTTAATTACTAACAATAACAACAATTTGTTGGTTTGTCCATCTGCTTCTTCTTCTTCGTCGTATTTTCATTTTTTGTTAGCTTTTGCTATTTTTCTTTTGTCTTTGTTCGTTTAGTTTCAGACACAACTGAATTTGATACCATCATCACTGGAATAACAATTCTGACAATGTAATTTGTGATTGCGCACCCGAACATCGGTACCGTTTAGGCCATCGCCCAGCTGGACATGGCAGACACAGCATTTGAAACAATTAATGTGATAAAATAGCAAAAGTGATTCAATAATCATGGCAGCTCCACGTCCTGTTAGAAAAAACGAAAATCAAAAATTAAAAAATTAAAAAAAAATAATAATAATAATAATAAAAATTAAATAATAATAATAAATTTAAAAAATAATAATAAAATTAAAAATAAATAAAATTGTAGAATAAAAAAATGAATTAAAATAAATATAAAAAATTAAGAAATAATCTGCAGGTTGGTTGTTGAAATTTAGAGTTTTTGCTGGTTGTTGTATTTTCAAAATAATAAAAATTAAAAATATATATTTTTAATAAAAATGTTATATTAATTTTAATATTAAAAAATTAAAAAAAAAATATTTTTTTAATATTAAAACGTTAAAAATATATATATTTTTTTTTTCAAATTTAGAGTTATTGCTGGTTGCTGTAATTTTATAATTTTTCAGTACTAAAAAATTAAAAAAATAATAATAATATTTTTTTAATATAAAAAAAACATATTTTTTACATATTTATTTTTTTATATTAAAAAGTTAAAAAAACGTATATATATTTTTTTAATAATTATTTTTTTAAAATATTATTTTTTTTAATAATTATTTTTTTTAATTAAAATTTCCTAATTCTCAAATCAATACTAATTTAAATTTCCAATTAAAATTAAGAAATAATCTGCAGGTTGGTTGTTGAAATTTAGAGTTTTTGCTGTTTGTTGTATTTTCAAAACTAATAAAAATTAAAAATATATATTTTTAATAAAAATTTTACATTAATTTTAATATTAAAAAAAATATTTTGTTAATATTAAAAAGTTAAAAAAATATATATATATATTTTTTTTAAATTTAGAGTTATTGCTGGTTGCTGTATTTTTATTATTTTTCAATACTAAAAAAATTAAAAAATAATGATAAATAATAATATTTTTTTAATATTAAAAAAACATATTTTTTACATATTTATTTTTTTAATATTAAAAAGTTAAAAAAACGTATATATATTTTTTTAATAATTAATTTTTCAAGGGTTAAATTTTTTAATAATTATTTTTTTTTAATAATTATTTTTTTTTTTCAATTAAAATTTCCTAATTCTCAAATCAATACTAATTTAAATTTCCAATTAAAATTAAGAAATAATCTGCAGGTTGGTTGTTGGAATTTAGAGTTTTTGCTGGTTGTTGTATTAATAAAATTAAAATAATAAAAATTAAAAATATATATTTTTAATAAAAATTTTATATTAATTTTAATATTAAAAAATTAAAAAAAATATTGTTTTAATATTAAAAAGTTAAAAAAAATATATATATTTTTTTCAAATTTAGAGTTATTGCTGGTTGCTGTAATTTTATTATTTTTCAATACTAAAAAAATTAAAAAAAATAATAATAAATAATAATATTTTTTTAATATTAAAAAAACATATTTTTTACTTATTTATTTTTTTTTAATATTAAAAAGTTAAAAAAGTATATATATTTTTTTTAATAATTAATTTTTTTTAATAATTATTTTTTTTTTAATTAAAATTTCCGCTTGATAGTCTACTACTAATTCTCAAATCAATACTAATATAAATTTCCAATTAATTTTTTAATTAAAAAAAATAATAATAAATTTTTCATTAACAAAATTTGAAGCTCACATTGAAACCGTTTAATTTAATTTATTGTTATATTTGTTTCCATTATTCAGGAGGGAATTATTGTTGTTGTGATTTATTTCATTAATTAGTTTGATGGTGGGTTTAATTCATTAGATTGGCAGTCAAATCAGACTTATTTATCATTTATCATTGATATTTAATTATAATTTTCGTTGTATTTTTTCGGTTAATTATTTTTAATTGGTAAAAAATTTATTCAGCATTTCGTTTTGATTATAAAAAAACAACTATCTAACTTAAACCCAGACAATATATTTTAATTCGCGATGGGTATGGCGACATTTGTCATCAGTGCAACCCAAATCTGAGATTAAAAAAGAAAACATAATTTTAAAATTATAAAAATCAAAAAAATTAGAAATAAAAAAATAACATTTAAAATTTGTTAATCCGTTCAGACATGTAACAAGAAGGGAGAGAGAATATAGGAAAAATTAAATTATTTTCAATTTTATTATATACAAATATTCAAAATTACATTGAATGTTATGAGTGAATGCACTGAGTGAATTTTAAATGTTGAAATTTACAACTAATAATTAGTTGTTTTTTTTTATAAAAACAACAAACTGGGATTAAGCCTGACTATTTTGCAAAAACGAAATTTACAATATTTTGAAGACGAATTCAAAGATCGAACTATCATTGAATGATGATATTGGGTTTTTGACACTAAATGATATTGGAATTTTAACACTAAAAATTATGAAATTTTCAAGACAATTTTTTTCTAAATGGCAATTAGAGGTGAAATCAAGTGCATTGTAAAGCATACTTTTAGGAGTAAATAAACAAATGTTTGGAATTTTAGATTTTAATTGATTGTTTTCAAGTAGCCAAAGTCGTGGACATTTTTAGGAATATTTTTTCGAGAAGCCATAGGTGTGTATTAGTTAAAGATTTTTTTTCAGGGATTTAAAAGTTTTTATTAATTAAAGAATTTTTTATGAAAGCCAAAGGCGTTGTTTTCTCAGTAATAACTTTCTAGGAACTATAGGGCCTGGATATTTTTAAGAATATTTTTTCGGTTAGTCAAAGGCGTTGATTTTTGGATGAATATTTTTTGGATTTTAATGGTTTTTTTTTTCAAGGATCCAAAGTCGTGGACATTTTTAGGAATATCTTTTTGTGGGAGCACAAGGTGCGGGGTTTAAAAAAATATTATTTGGCCCAAGAACGAACTTTATTGAAATTTGAGAAAATCGGTTCAGATTTATATAGTTTCGTCCGATTTTATGTGAATGATGCATCAAACTCCCAATATTTGTCCGATTGGGACAAAATTTTGCACAGACTAGTGAATTATCGGTCCAGATTTAGATATAGCTCCCATATATAGTTGCGTCCGATTTTTTGTGAATGATACACCAAACTCCCAATATTTGTGCGATTAGGACAAAATTCTGCACAGAGTACTGAATTAGGTCCAGATTGATGTCTGCAAAGTTTTTTTTTTTTAAATCGGTTCAGATTTAGATATAGCTCCCATATATAGTTTCGTCCGATTTTAGGTAAATAGTGCACCAAACTCCCAATATTTGTCCGATTGGAACGAAATTTTGCACAGCGCACTGAATCAGGTCCAGACTGATGTCTGCGAAGTTTGGTTAAAATCGATTCAGATTTAGATATAGCTCCTATATAGTTTCGTCCGATTTTAGGTAAATGGTGCACTAAACTTCCAATTTTTGTCCAATTGGGACACAATTTTGCACAGACTTCTGAATTAGGTTCAGATTGATGTCTGCGAAGTTTTGTTAAAATCGATTCAGATTTAAATATAGCTCCCACACACAGGTGTAGGTCAAATACGTTTATAAAAAAAAAACAATCCCAAGGTTTGCAAAGATCTGTTGGCTACATAATATCTCTGGTTGCACTTCTATGGTAAATATTTAAAAAGTAGCTACAAATCTACAACTTTTCAAGACATTTAGGAACTTAATGGAACTTCGATATATGAAACGATTTTTGAATGCATCGGCTGACTGACTGATCGACTGATTTAATTTGATTTGACGATTACGATTTCGAATAACAACAAAAATTTATTTTTGCAGCAAACACTCACAACCAACATAGGTGCAGTAGTAGTAGTTACCTAATTCGTCGCCGCAATGGGAGCATTTCTTTTTGCCACTGACACTCAAAACCTTATCCTGGTTTTGGGAGTTAGTCATTTGGTTTAACTGGCCATTGGATGAGGATGATGTCATTGTGGTATGGCGGTGTGTTGTCGATGCTGTTGTAATTAAATTGTTATGGGTGGTGTTGGTGGAGGTGGTGCAGGAGGATGTGTTTGATGACTGTGGGATTTGAGTTCCTTTCTGGTTGCTGCTGCCGCTGCTGTTGTATTGATGATATTGAGAGGCAGCATGCAAGGGACTTTTATCCAAATTATTGCTGTAAATGAAAAAGAAAAGAAAATTCATCAATAAAAAAGTAGCTGTAGTTCGAGACGGCACACCCAGCTCACCGTTTACGTTCCCCAATGCCTTTGCTTTGCACCCTTTCGGTAAGGGTTTGTATTATGGAATCCGGCAAGGGTTTGCCATTGGAAGTGGCCGTTCCATTTGTTAGCTTATTAGCCGGATTGCTGGTATGGGTTGGTGTATTGGAGGATGATTGCACACGTCTCTGTTGCTGCTGTTCCACCAAACGCCGTTGTTCAGCTTCTTGGACTAGCCAATGATTATTGCTGTGACCATGATAGGCATCTGGCATTGATTTCCGTTTTTGCTGATAGGCCGACATCCAGGCCGGATCATTGGTCAAATTACTGTCATACGATTTGCGTTGCTGTACTTGGACCCAACCATCGGTGTATTTGGGTTTGGGTGTGGCACTGAGAGCATGCAGGGTATTACGTGACATATTGCCGGGATATAGAGATTGATTGACTGTTGCCTGTGGCAGCTGTTGGCCATTGACGGCTGTGTTTAGATTTTGTTCCGATTGATGATGATGGTGTTGTTGCTGCTGCTGTTGATAATTGGAATAGATGTGTGGCGCTCCACCACGAGGAGCAGCTGTGGGTGCTATCTTCACCAAAGATCCACCAAATTGTTGAGAATTCAGAGAGTGTCTTTGGCGTGCTACATAATCCGTGGCATCTACGGCCAAAACACCACCACCATTGTGGACCATGCCATTAGTAGCGCTGTTGTTATTGGTATTGGTATTTATATGCATTGCCCTCATGGGTTTTGAGGGCGGTACCGGTGGTGGCTGCATCATACGCTTGGAGAATTCATTTATATCCGACATCGATTTACGATAATCGGTATCCATTTGGTAATATTGTTGTTGTAAATTTGGAATATTAGCATAAATTTGTTGATGTGTCGACGAGGAGGGGATGGTCTGCTGTGACTGGGCCTGTGTTTGATTGAAATGACCCGGATAGCCATTCATTTGATAACCATTGTGTTCAATATTCAAATTACCACCACCCGATGGCACAGTCATGGCGCCCAAACCATTCAGATCTTGTAGAGATCTACGATTTGCTGACATTAACATTTTGGCACCATGTTGCAGCTCACGTCGGGCCATATTTTCACGCAACATTAGATTTTCTCTTTGTCTCTTTAGCTCTTCCTGTTCCAATTGCAGCAATTCACGTTCAACGCGTAACACCTCCTCCTGTTCACGAATTTTCTCTTCGATCGAAAGCATTTTAGCATTGGCCGTAGCTGTGGCTTCGGTCAGCGATTGGGTGGCAGCTGCTGCCACCGTAGCTGATTCTGTCCATGATTCTGCGGAATTACCCTTCACAGTTTGTAGCAGTGGTGTGGGGGCCACCGTGAGTAGACCATCATTTTGATAAATCATATCATTGGTAGGTGGATCTAAAGTGATGGGGGTCTGGAGGGTTAGCGGTGATGTTGCATCATCATCATGTGGTTCATTTTCCTCCGATGAATTGGTATAGTGTTCACTACTCTGGCGGGAGTGATTTTCAGATACACCCGAGTCACGACTTTCGCCTAAAAGGAAAATGGAGAAATAAAAAGGGGTAATTAAAAGAGGGGCAAATTGGGGGTAAATCCAAAAATAGGTGGATATTTTAAGGAATACATTCAGGGACCTACAATAACATTGGATATTCTAAGGAATATTTTCAGGGGCGAACAAAAAGCTTGGATATTGTAAAGAATATTTTCAGGGGGCTTCAATAAACGTGATTGTTTTGAAGTGACCACCTACAAATGTGGATATTTTAAAGAATATTTTTAGGGGTCTACAATAAGTGTGGATATTTTTAATGTATATTTTCAGGGATCTACTATAAGTGTGGATTTGTTGAAGAATATTTTTCAGAGACCTACAGGAACTGTGGATTTTTTTAAGGGCCGTCTATAATATTTTAAAGAATATGTTCTGGGCCTGCAATAAGTTCGAATTTGTTAAAACGTTAATTTTATAAAAAATATTTTCCGGGGAATTTGTTTAAGGAATATTTCCAGGGGTCTACAATAAGCGTAGATATTTCAAAGAATATTTTCAGCGGCATAAAATAAGCGTGGAAGTTGTACAGAATATTTTCAGGGATCTACAACAATCGATATTTTTTTAAAGAATACTTTCTGGGGCCAACAAAAAGCGTAGGTATTTTAAGGAATATTTTCAGGGGCCTACAATAACCGTAGATATTTTAAAGGATATGTTCAGGGGAATTTTTTGAAGAATATTATCAGGCGCCTACAATAAGTGTGGATTTTCTTAAAGTATACTTTCGGGGCCCTACAACAAGCGTGCATTTTTAAAATAATATTTTGAGGGACCTACAACAAGCGAGGATTTTTATAGAATATTTTCAGGGACCTATAACAAGCGTAGCATTTTCATAGAATATTTTCAGGGGCCCATAACAAATGAGAATTCTTTAAAGAATATTTTCAGGGATTTTTTTTCGTCAGAATTTAACATTTCCTTATGTGTTCACCCTTAACCTTTCGTCAACTACTAAGTGGATTACAAAACCCAGAACAAATGACCGAAGAAAAAATTAAAAAAACAACAATGACAACAAAAACAATTCCATTACAAACCAAGTCAACATGTAGGCAAAGCCGAAGCATGTTAGGCAGGTATTCAAAATAGAAAAAAAAATCAAAACTATTCTATGGCACAACAATGTTGTATTACTAAGTAGTTCGGTTGGTGACCTGACCTGACCTGTGAATAATGTGTACTTAATTAATATTGAGAAAGAAAAATCTCCCCACCAAAAATTATTAATATTGACACAAGTTCGGGGGTAGACTCCATAAACGGTAGCGCCCAATATTCGGTATTTTGGGGCGTTTAGGCACGATCTCCATATCAAAACCAAAGTGGTTGCAATTTGACACTTCAGGCTCCGCCCTTCTTTGGGCACTTTCAATATTCTTTAAGCAGTAAATACCTCCTGACTGAAATTTTTTACAGGTTAATTTTTATTAGTCAAGTGCCTGTCATTTGGAAATTCGGATTCTCAGAGGATAGAAGGCATCCTGACTGTAGGTATTTCAAAGGTACTATACACATATTCCAACAGAAGTGCCTATTATTTGGAGATTGGGTTTCTAAGAGGATAAAAGGAACCCATTGCAGAATATTTCCCTACAGAAATGCCTGTTATTTGGAGGTTCGGGTTATTAGATGATATAAGATATCCTGGCGGAAAATTTCCTGTATAGACGGGGTATTTTCTAACCGAAGTTGTTATAATTTCAACAACATTTTCATGAAAATTTTAGAACCATTTCAAATCTAAAAATTTAAATAATTTCAAACTTACCCGTATCCGAACTGTCACACAATCCAGCCTTTAAGTACATTTGTTTCTCCAAGCGCCGCTCCTCCTGCAGCAACTGGGCCATATCGGGTGGTGGCGCGACCGTCAATTCCAAATACGAATCATCATCATCCATTGAGCTGCCTTCGATACCCAAAAAACTGGAACGTTTATTGCGTAGCTCTTTCTTAATGCGCTTGGTGGAATTCATGCGCTTCATCGGAGGCGAAGGATGATCTGGATGAAGTGGTTGCGATTGTTGTTGTTGCTGCTGCTGATATTGTAGATGATGATTGAGTTGATGTCGGGTCAGTGTTTCATACGTATTTTCCGATGATGAATAAGTATCGGTGGTATGGCTACTGTCGACATCATCGAATAGTGGTGGACTTTCAATGGGTGGTGGTGGTGGTTTTTCTTTGGGAGGTTCCAAATGGGTGGAGGATTCTTCGCCGCCGAGGCCATTGCCATTAAAGAAAATCTCAATATTTTCATAGACCGGTATGGGTTTCAAATGTTTGGGAGCATCATAATAGGGTTCACAGGATTTTGGTACTTGATAATAGGGTTCAATGGGTTCGATCAATTGGCTGAGGGTGGAATCGGGAACATCAGTGGTGGTGGTGTTGGTGTTCATGTTGTTGTTGCTGCTATTCATGTTTGCTTTAGTCTGTTCAATGGGTACATTTTCACTAAACATTGTGGTGGTATTGTTGTTGCTGTTGTTGGTTGTTTTTGT